TATTAAATATAAGACTTGTTTTACCTCTACTTCCTTCGGGAGAAATAGTGTTGAACCTGTTAAAGACAGAAACAAAAAAAAAGCCTGTTTGTAAAAACAGAGCACAGTGGAAAGGTTGTATATGTCAAGCAAACCTCTTCACCCGCCTGAAAATACTTGTTGGTTTTCACCATTTCCTGCAGGAATATGTACCTGTGCGATGTCATAGGAGCTGCCGCAGCCTCCTTGCCTTTGTACTGAAAGGAAACAACAGCGTAGGGGCACACATGCCTGGGCCGTGCCTTGATCTCATCAAATGCAAACTCGAAAAAATATTGCTAAAAGACAAAGAAAGAGACACATTAACAGAAATGCAGTCCAAATCTGCTGGGAGAGCATCGGAGTAGTGAGGGAGCAACAGATAGAGGCCATGGCCTCATTGCTACAGAATGGAGGGTCAGAAGATAGCTCTGCTCAGTGTAGCATGGACAGACTCAGAGCTAACACCCATATGAAGCTGTTATGAGACTTTCCTTTTTCTGTGCTGAGGAGACAGAGCCTGGTAGATTCCTGACAGTCACTATCATTATGCTTATGTCCCTTTAGAGCATCACTGTGTTCATACTGTGTTGTAGCTGAGCTAGCGGTGCTGTACAATGTGCGTCTCATCTAGGGTAGTGCCAGTAACCTAGCACTGTTAAAGTTACTATATCTCAGTCCTGAATATAGTGTTAAGGTCTAAAAACAGCAGACTTAATTGCGTGTTGTGTTTACTGCCTCTGCAGAGTAATACATCTCAATCATATACAATTTAACTTGTAGTTTTTGGCTCATAACAGGCTTGTTATTGTAGCTGGTGCGAGTAGGACCTTCAAGGGGCTGATAAAATTGTCTGTGTTGTCATGAATGTAGGGTGCAGAGGACTGGCCAGAACTGAACTTTCAAATGCAAGCTGCTGCAAACTGTCATAAACTTGCTACATTTTTACACACAATACGTATTTTGTTGGGAAAGAAAAGTCACCTGTAAGGACAGCATACATCAACAAAATTCTATGTGATTGTGTGTACATGGTAAAAAGAAATTATTTAGTGTGCAGCTACCCTTTAATTCAAAACACATAATAAATGAGCGAAGAAGAACCAGTGGTTACCTGTGTGAGCTCAAACGCCCTGTAAGACAGCAAAGATGTAACCCTATTGGCACTTTTGGACAAGTGACAGTCAAACTTGGGTGTCGGCTCCATCGCGTTCTTAGGCATGTTCTCGTGGATGTGCTTTATTCGGCCCTGAGAAACAAAACATACCAGCTGACTTCAAGCCCAACAGGAATTAGAAATCTGTAATTATTACAAAATGAAAACAGCAGCCATACCCTCATAACTTTAAAAATGATCATGTCTCCAAACGAGCCCACTTCAAAAGGGTTGATTTGTAGCAAATCAGAATATTTGGAAAGATAAACACCTACAATGACAAAATCCAAGGAAAACAAATGAGAAATGGCAGCAGAAATGAATCAGCACCATAATCATACTCCATCAAATTGCATTCAAATATCATATTCACAAATTTTAACCCTTTGAAGAGTGCCAATGACTTGTTGATATTTTAAGAAGCACTACTTGATTAGCTTCTGAGTTATGAATAAACAATAACTCCTATATTGTTGCATATATCAGGGTAATTTTCAGCTATAAAGATTCAAAATAAATTCCATAAAGAAAAGAAAGCAGGCTGGTGACCCTCATGTGATCCAAAAACTATACTTACATGACCTTCTCTTCTGAGTGTGCTTTTAAGTCAACAGCAACAAAAGATCATCTCACCCATTGATGGATTTCCTAGTGTAGTAATCCTGGAGTGCCCAACAGAGAGACCCTTCTCACAGATCCACTGGAGCTACACGTGCAAAAGAAAGTACAAGGCTCACAATCACGTAAGAAACCCCGTCATGCTTTATAACTTGTCAATCATCTGAGAACGTACAAGGCTCAGAATCACGTAAGAAACCCAGTCATGCTTTATAACTTGTCAATCATCTTGTATGCGTATGAGTAGGACTTCACAGCCAGACTAACCTTGGATTTGTCTGGATAAAGGAAGCAGTATGACTCAGTCAGTTCTTGTTCGGTTCGCCCCTCCTGTTTCATCTCTCTCCGCTTCTCGATGAACTGGCACACAAAAGGAGTAGACAGTGAATGAGACAGAGCAGCCTGAACCTCACGAGATCAGTGCTTCCATGCACAGCTCTGGGAGAATGTGTAACTTTGTGTAACTAAACATTATATTACAGCCTGCCCTCAACGTGTGCTCATTCCTTTCACATGAGCATTTGTGGAATAAACACTCTGCTGAGCTGTTTTCACATCTAAGCTGTGAAGACAGCCAATTATGATTGTTATATTTTCTTTGAACCTACAATAAGGTCACATTAATAAAAGGACAGCAGATGAAATGCACATATTGACAGTGAAAAACAATGACCAACCTCCTTCTCCAGCAGTTCATTGTGAATGATCCGGGCCTTGAAGTAGGAGAAGGATCCTCGTGAAGAGGAGTCCAGGTAAAACGATGAGATAATCTTCACAAGGTCCTCAAACTCCCTGCTGTCGGGGAGCAGGAACTGGTACAGACCTGCACAGATAGATATGAATCAGTGGATGAACCCACAGCATATTCAGTCAACTTGAAGGAGACGGCCACATCAAATTAATTAGCAGCCTCTACCTTCATTTAAAAACCTATCTGACGTGAGAACATCACGTCTATAATATACTTTTTTCTTACACTGAAAAAGGATATGTCTTGTGTTTAGACTTCAGCTCAATATTTAAGTCACATATTCTTGTATGAACAGAAGGTACAGGAGGAAGTGATATAGACTGAGCGCTTGCGGGCATTAATACTTGTGTGTGTTGAGTACAACTCAGTGGGATTGCAACAAACCAGCGGCATCCTACACCACGCTATTTCTAATCTGCTAAAACAGCCAGTTCACCATAACAAGTTACCATATAAGCTTTAGTAAAGAAACATACTGAGATTGGAAGAATAGCGATGCCAGATAACTAAGCCTTGTATTTATTTTTACATAACATTTATCATATATCAAACACATGCAAAAAAGTAAAACCACCACTACAGGCTGTCATCAGCCTCAAGCTGTGGGACAGCCAAGGGTAAACATCTCATGCCAGGCAAAAGAATGAAGACAGGCCAACGGAGTGCACATATAGCCAAGTCTCTCCCACCGTTAGGGTTCCAACTTGGGCATCAAGACTTTTAATTCACTATATATGCAACCTCATTGGGGGGGATTTTACCACACAAGGCAAGCACATTTGCTAATATGAGGCTCAAAACAAAAGTCCAGCCACATCATTTGCATATATACAAATAATGAGTGCTTCACAGCAAGGCTAGTAAAAAAAAAAAAAACATCTGCCACACTTTTGCAGGTACTTCCACCTTTCTAAAAGATGAGGGCCAACATAGGAAAGCGCACAGAATAATGGTTTGAGGAGTGTTGAGGTGAGGTGTAAAGGGATGCTGGGAAATGCCAATGACATCAAGCTGGGACAAGGGGTGGGCAGCCCTACTTAGATTCCATTAGAAGTGTCATGGTACTGTGAAGACGTAGAGTAACGTTAGACGGGTACGGAGGATAAAATCCATGCCCTTCACTGGGGTCAATAAGGCACCCACATATTTCCAGATGATGGTTGACCCTCATAACTCCAGAAGCATCATTCAACCACACTATGGTCCCATGCACCCGTGAAAAAATAAACAAGGTGGCCTTTGAAACGGGTAGTCCTCAAAGTGTGGTTTTCAGCAGCGTAGCTGTCTGCTGCTCACTGCTAAGTTGGATACTCCACTACCACAGCCATGTCTGCTATAACCCGCACCCTACACCAATCTGCACTATCCATGTGCTTCAACAGTATCCACTAAAACAGTTTAACTACCTGAACCTAAAATATCGGTGAACATTTTGTTAAACCCGTTAAACCATCGGGAGCTGCCAGCTAGCTAGCAGGCTAGCAACATGCAGCAGCAGAATTATGAAAGACAGTACAGTCTCTGTTCAAATAGCAGCGATATGGCACCACCTCTCCGTTCTCTTGTTTTCCTCGGGATTTGAAAATTTTTCCGTGGCAGCTCTTCGCTCGGTCTCTGGCCGGGATAAGCCGAACTGCTAAAGCCCCGGGCGTCCGTCTGCACACTCCTTCGCCGCTCAGGGGCTTCATGTTCGGGCTTTACACTGTCTCCACATCCAGGCTGATCGCCATTTTGGTTGGCTGTGGCCGAGGTGGCGGCTGAATTCTTCTGGGGTTCACCACCGTCCGGGTGGAGATCGCCCGTCTCGGTACATTCTGTGTCCTTTTTCCCCGCCGCGTTAGGGTTCAGGGCCATTTTCGGGACACCGTGCACGTAATGCAGGCAATGTAGCTCTAACGATTACAGCACCGCTTCATACACACACAATCCTCCTCACCCAGCCTCCGCCATTGTGAAAATGACGTACACGTTCTTCTCCACCACTGCAAAACGCTACCGTCAGTATGTTTACATAAGGGAGAATCCGCGCCACCAAGCGGCTGAAAGAGGTACTGCGAGACCTGATGTAGCGGTAATATATATGCAGGAGGATGTGTGGGTGAAAGTGCAAACAGTGCTTACTTATCAATAGCCTACACAATAAGAATGAGGTATAGGACGCAGTCAAATATGTAACATCCCACCCCCAACTGTACAGAAATACTTTACATCACAGCATCTTTGTATCATCTTTATTTGTAAAACACATTAACAAATAGATGTCAACTTCTACACAGATAAATGTAAATGTACCATATATCCCAAATGTAACACATAGCACATAAATCTAAAACTATGTAGTTTGACAGAATAATACTACTCTGGTAATACTTCATGAGACCACCAGGTGAAGACAAAGAGGCAAGGATTCTCCCATTCTCCCATCTCTTGATTACTTTGGATACTGGTTTAATGTATTAAAGTAATGTTTATTGTAATGTATATAGTATTGTTATGTAATCAGCAATTTCTCCCTGTGATATCATTGACATGTTCTGTATTTACGTAATAATACAATCCACTACTATAAGTACTAAAACATTAGTTGTATTTTTCTTTTTCAAAATGCCACTTTAGGACTCATATAGCCAGAGGAGTCACAAGGCATTACAATGTAACTGTATGCTATTTAAAGAAAAAACTCATAAATACATAATAATTGGCATAAAATAGGCTGGCTACATGAAATATGCATATAATGTTAACTGTCTTTGCTCCTCTATCTGTGACAGCTGTTGTTTTTACTAAGGGATAACCATGCTGCCCCTGCTGTAAACATCAAACTCTTTGTAGTGTAGGTAATCTTTCAGACTAGGAGGAAGAGGAAGGAAGTTGATAAAAACTGGAGATCTCAAGCGCAGGCATTTGAGATGCTCTCTTATCCGCAGGCGACATAGGTGCTTCAGGCTTCGCGCATTTCCTGTACAATAAAGTTAGTTAAGTCCATGAATGCACATAAAATTTTGCTGACAGGTAATATATATATACATACTATAAGCAACAAATAAAAAATCATAGCAGTTCTTACTTTGAATGTGAAAGATCTCTGGCCATTGTTTCTGCTGCTTTAAGGTGTCCTCAAGTTTGGTGCAGAAGGAGACATGACTGGTGTAGTCGAGCATGATGCGTACCACCTGAGCAGATAAGTGCTTTAGCCAGGACACGGTTATCACTTCACAGAACTACAAAGGGACAAAGAAACACATGAGGCAGTCAAGAAAGCTGTTTCTTTACTTATACAATTTTCTCTCAGAGAAGCTTTATCTCACCACCATGTCTTTGATGACTGAAGTTGTCCAAGGAGCGTAGACATGGGAGCTTTTACCATATGGACAATCAAAGCAGCGCTTAACATCATATCCATGGTTCAGGATCATCCTCAGCATAACCTCGTCCTTCAAGGCATACTGCAGTGCTGAGGGGAAATGAGTGGTGTTGATGCAGGAGTAGTAGTTTACATTTGCCCCAAACTTCAGCAATGTTTTGACCAGTTCATAGTTGCCCTGTCTAAGAGCCACTTGCAAACAGCTGATAGGATCCTGGTTCACCATTGCCCCAGCCTCTAAAAGCAAGCGGGTGCAATGAAGATCACTGTTGGACACAGCAAAAAAGAGGGCAGACCTGCGGTCATCATCATAGTTGCGGCGCACCCTTGGGTGCAGCATGAAGTTTGGATCATAGCCAGCTTTAAGCAGTATCTCCGTGCAATGGGCATGTCCCCCAGCAGCTGCAGAGTGGAGAGGACTCATTCCACTTTCCTTTACAGCATCCATTTTAGTGACTGGGATGAGGCGTTCAAGTGCCCTATGAAAGAGGAACCCTCATTTAACAACATGACAGTGGTTCAAACTTTATTTGAAAAATGGGAGAACTGGATGTAACATAAATGTTACTCACAGTCTGTGTCCACGGTATGCCACACGGTGAATTGGCAGATGTCCACTGAAAAGAGGTAGATTGGGATCTGCTCCATGGTCCAGCAGCAAGGAGATTATGTCAGGGTTTCCTGATGCTGCTGCATCAAACAATATAGTGCCTGACTCTGATTCACACCACACATGGGCTCCTAAAAATGAACACAGATACTCTAAGAATATACATCTAATAGGCAATATCTAGACCTGGAGGACAGTATAAAAAACAGGCAGCTGTGGCACAGGAGGTAGAGCGGGCATCCCCCAGCCAGAAGGTCGGCAGGTCCCATTCTTCCCATTCCGAGTGTCAAAGTGTCCTTGGGCAAGGCACTGACCCCCAAGCTGCCACTGATGGCCAGGGCAGCGCTTTGCAGGGACAGTGTCACCATCAGTGTGTGTGTGTGTGTGTGTGTGTGTGTGTGTTTGAGTTGGCCTTGCAGATGGCTGCCTTGGTTCTGTACTGGAGACAAATTCCTGTTGTGTGTAACATACTTGGCCAATAAAATAAATCTAAAAAGTTTAATGCATTCTAGAGACATTTATTTCTATTATTTGTTATTTGTATGAGTTTCTTTTTTTTTTTTTAGTTTTTCTGAAAAGCCTCTGCTACTTCACCATAAATTGTCTGATCAAAGTGAAGTATTGGAGCACAGATGGTTTGAAATTCACAAATTTGCTTATTTCATGTTCAGTACCTTTCTGTAACAAGACCTCCACCACATTATAATGTCCATTCTGTGCAGCCAGAGCCAGTGGAGTCTTCTTTTTGAGGTCGCATGCATTTGGGTTGGCACCAGATTCTAGGAGCAGATAGACAAAGTTCTCCAGGCCTAAAAAGGCACACTCGTGCAGGGCTGTCCTGTTTAGTGGTCCCATTTGGTCTACTTTGGCTTTATAGCGAAGCAGCAGTGTGGCCAAGTCATATTGGTCATTCAGAATAGCTACGAAACAAGGAGTAGGAGAGAGAGAGAGAAATACTTTAGAATTAGCAAGTATGTTTAGATTTCTGTAAATGATGTGCAATGTGTGATCAGATGAATTTACTGTCCATTACCAGCCACTAATGGAGAGTCCTGCTCATCATTCTGCAGATCTGGACTACAACCATTCTGTAAAAGGAAGGTAGCATTTTCTCTGAGGCCCTGGAGCACAGCTAGAAAGAGCGGTGTCTCACCCTTAAGAGTGCGACACTGAGCTGCACCCAGAGGTGAAGCTAGAATCCAAATGTCAAACAATGAATCAGTGTGCACGTATTTACGGTATAATTAAGAGTCTGCATGATGAAACATTACAGTCATACGTTTAATGCTTTTAATACCTGAGAATATAATTTCTAGTATCATTTTATTCTTTTGTACTGCAGCCTCATGCAGGGGGATCCATCCTCGCTCATCAACTCTGGAAAGAGTCTCTGGTTGGGCTACCAGTCTGTTCAGTGCATCCTCATCACCTGGATATGAAAATCATATCAGGGCTTCTGGCAAGATTAATGATAATCTGAATCAACTCTGGCAGGTTAAAAACAGCAGCTCACCCTCCTTGATTGCTCTGAAAATCTCATCAGGATCTTCACTGGGTTTTACATCTCTATCAATAGAGATTGCACAGAACAAGGATTCAAACAATGATCAAGTGATTCAGAATGTAAAAAAAAGATTTTTGATACATTTGATACTGGGTGGTTAAAGATTAACCCTGGATTCAGTCCTTTGAGGTTTCTATATTGAATTAGACTTTGTTCAATTATATATTGTGTTGCCTCATCTTCATCCAAGTCATCCTCTGACTGATAAAGCCCATCTTCTGTCTTTGTGTTCATCTGAAATGGTCAGTGCACAAGGAGTTGCTATGGGAAGACATCAGCCATAAGGTTAAAAAGGCCATTAAATATAGGCACATGCAGACCTAAATACCAACAGTGACAAATGAACTACAGCACAGTGCAGCCAAGCAGTTTTATCTTGTCTCTCTTGGGGAATTAAGAGGTCTAAATGAGTTAATGACACTATGAAAAGATGAGGATATTATATCTACAATCTATTACTAAATCTATAAAATGTAATGATTCTAAAGAGCAGTATTATTTCATCTTCGTTTCACCTGAGTTGCTCTTAATTTTACAACAGATCTCTCATAAAGAATATATTCTTTCTCAGCAAAGCCAAAACAAAAGTATGGATATTCATACTGCACAGTAATTGTAAGATAGCAGAAGAAATGTCATAAACAAAACAGGCACAAGATATTTTACAGCAATACAAGTGCTGAAAATGACCTGGAAACTCAACAACATGGCTTAGAACTTGAACAGCTGCAGATCAAGTTCAACAGGCTAAAACTGCACTAGAACAGCAACAGCTTTCAAGCGCCACACCAATCAGTCTAGTTTTTTCCTAAAGGCAATATTTATTCATTGTCTGGTGTTTACCTTCAGTCAAATGGCAGCACTCCCTCAGTAGTTTTTACAACAGAATAGTCAGTAGCCTACTCGGTGTGTACACATACTGGAGCTATTTATATCTCTTCTACTAATAATATCAGATCAGTGTCATCACAGTCAGCACCCAGCTTTGACCCAGTGAGCTCTAAAAACAACTGCTACCCTTATACATATTCATTTATAACACAACCCAGGCCATTATAAAAACAAGATGACTGTTGCATTAATTCCTATCATTAAAAAAATGAATACAAATGAACTGTTACAGATTTTACAGGTCTCTTCTTACCTGCTAAGTTTCTAGGACATTTCCTGGGGGGAAAGACTGATATTTGGTACAAATTAAGTATAATCAAGGTTTCATTTATTTAGCTAGAACTTAATTAACAGTGTTGAGTTTATAAAAAGTAGATCTCAATTTCAGTCATTATTAGAAATGTCATTATCCATATACATTGAACTGTGTTTGTCTGTAGACAGATTTTGCACTGTCGCAGGTTCAGCCGACCTGCTGTGCACTGACTAAAAGACTGTTGCACAAGCAACTATTTTGAATTGATGGAAATATACCATTATGACTAGTACCAAATTACTAAATTATTTCTTTCTGAGAAACTCTAGGAGTTTATGAACTTGTTACCAGATTTTTTTTTGGCTTTACTTGCTTTGCCACTAAGCAATGTTAATTTGTAAATTGTTCATAAGGACAGTTTTTACACATATGCTGTACTATTTATGCTAGAACACTGCAAAATCATTGTAATACAATGTGGGCACTGAATGCCAACCATGACAAGTAGACATATATTTTTAATTTTAGAAAACATGTTTGTTGTTGTTTTGTTTTTACTTTTGTCTCATGGCCTTTTTACTGTTGTGGTGTAAATGTGTTCCAAATGCATTGCTACACTTAACCTGACTTGATGCAAAGGATTGTTGAGGACTAGTATAAACACTGAAACAACATACTGTATGTGCAGTGCTGCTTTTATTGTTTGAAGTGCACTTGCATCTCCATTGCTACTGCAGGATATGGTTCTTCTTACCATTGCTAACTCTGAGAGACGAGACAGTCCAAGTAACTTCAAAACAGTGCTGATTTATTCAAAGGATCACAGGTAAAATTAACATTACACGCTCAGGCATCTTGCACCTCCAAACTGCTCGCAGGCAGATGTAAGTTAACAGATGTATAACAACTTAAAACCAAAAGAAATAAAAGGAATTCATCAGGCCTACTGTTTTTCATAAGTCAACCCAAATAAATATGTTTTAAGCAATGAGTTTAAAAGCACTGAGGTCAGTAGCTGACCTATCATTAGTAGGTAGACCGTTCCACAATTTATGGGGCTGCATCAGTAAAAACACGGTCATGTCAGGTTTGCCCGGCTGCACCGACTTTCTCACTCCCCTCTCTCTGTTTTCACTCCCTTACCCTGATCACGTTTTCCTTCACACCTGTTTCTTAACCCCAGATTACCACCAGCTGCACCTGATTTGTTTCTCCCTATTTAGTCCCTGCTCTTCGTGCACTCCCCTGCCAGTTCTTTCCAGCATTTTGTCTAGCTCGTTGTTACCCATCGCTCCTTTGTCTCTATGTTAGTTTGTTCTTGCCTCCTTCTCTCCAGCTGCCTGGATTTATCCCTTCTCGCCTTGGGCGCTCTTTCGGACCACGGACCTCCTGCTCTCTTCTCCACCTCAACCTTCAGGTCGATGCACAGTTCTCTACTTACCGTATGTTTGTTTTTCTGTTCTCTTCAGTACAATCCAACCCGACCTATCCAGGAGTGTAACCCAGTGTCCGCAGCCCGGTCATCTTCACCTCAGATCCATCACTGACTGTATATCTCCTTGCTCGACACCCGGTGCCTGCCTTACTCTGCTGTTCATTTATTGTCATTAATATCACTGTAAATAAAACTACCACTGTCTGTACCGAAGTCAGCCACCTGGGTCCGCCTAATTTTGTGACTCGCTCACTTCCGTGTTCGAGCAGACCTAACAGATGTACCCTGTAGAAACTCATAAGCATGCCTAAGCATTTAACAGTCCAACTAGACATCCTATCTCCACTAAACATTTCTAATACATAAAGTATCTATCTGACTAAAAATACCTAACACTACCCAAATGCATGTTCCATCCATGCATCCAAACATGTACTGACTTGAATACACAGACAGAGGTTAGGTTTAATGTTTAAAGTGTTTAATGTGCCATGGTAAAGTGCTTCAGCCTTCAACACTGTGTTGTCTGAATTCAGTCATCAAGCTGGCAGAGCATGGCCACACCACGCTTGATCCAGTGTTCAGGGCGCCCTTCAATGGGCAACATCATGGAAATGACAAAATTAGTGGAGTGCCCTGTGGTAGAGAGGGTGCCCTTCCTCTCACTGGTCTTGTAGAGAGGGCAAATGTAGAGATTCTGAGACTGACTGATGCTCTTCTTTTGAGCTGCGTGGGGAGAAGGAAGCAAAGATATGAAGAAAGCAGGAAGCAGAGAGACAGGAATATGGAGAGGAAATAATAGAGATAAAATCAGCAGCACGTTTACAATGTTGGGCTTGAAACAGACATCTGTAAAATGGCATGCATTTCATTTGTCATACATTTATCCAGTGGTGCCTGCAGGATTATATTTCATAGTATGCAAAAGAACTGCCTAAATCTTGTTTTAACGAGAAACTTCTCTCATTATAACATGATACTCTGTTCATTTTTACGAGATACTTTCATGTTAAAACATATTTTCATATTACGACATACTGTATTTTCTCGTTATCACATAAGCGCAGCACAGTTTGGAGTGAGTGCAGCATGCGCATTGTCTTTGAGCTGCACCTCTGTAGCTCATTCAGTGCAGCCTCTCTCTCATCAACACCTTCCCATACCAGCTTTCCTCACAGTGACTAACAATGTTGCTGTTAGGAGATGCACTACAGCCAGTCCTTGAGCATCACCGATCTGACACTTATATCCATGTACAATAATTAGTCCACAAAATTAGACATGACTGCAACTTTTTTTTATCATACAATGACAGCCAGACACAGTGGTGTAAAACTTGACCAAAATCATTAAAAAAGGTATACACGTTGCTTACAGGATTACGGCTGCAGGTGCCACTGCATTTATCAGTGTACAATGTACTTACTGGGTTTTATCCAGATGATGGGCATCGGGTCAAATAAGACTTTGGGATACTGCTCAGCCAGAACTCCTCTGTTGATAAAGACAAACAATAGTTAAGGTTTATCAAATCTCTTTGCATTTCACAACTGTAGTAATAAAACAATTCTAAAAATAAACCTAGTACCTTCTTTTGTCCCATCGAGCTCCATCCAGAAACAATCCAGTAATGTAAACACCATCCTCAGGTGATGTTTCTGACTCATTGAAAGGAAGAACCTGTATGATAATGCAATAAAATGTAAACCACAGTTCCATATGCTCTTAAAGCTATAAGAAGACCTTTGAGGTGGAGACAAAGGGTTTCCAAAGTGTGTGTCTTTTGACCTCAAAATCAAAGCTTAGCAGGTCAATGGGAATGTGGTATTTCCTGGCGTAGTTCTGCATAGCCCCAGTTAGGAAGGCCTGGGTGAAGAAGAAGCCAGACAGCCAGAACACGTTGGGCTTACAGGTGTTGTACCATTCCTAAAAGTAGACAGTATAAAAATGGAAAAGTGGGGTAAAAAAAACACAACAAATCTCCCAAATAATTACATTCAAGAACACAATGCATTTTCCTATAACCAATCAAAAATAATAGCAAGCTTCTCATCTACATGATCTTTGTTAACCAGTCTCACCTGCAAAAACTTCAGCCTTGAGAGAAAGTCAGTAATATAGCTGCCCAAAGGCTTGAGGCTAGGGTAGGAGCGTTTCGCCCATTTCTCTGGAACCTTGCCCACTATCAGACTGCCTGCAACTGCCTCCAGCTCTGCATCCATCACCACCAAACCCTTAATGGCCTTCAGCAGGCTCTGTAGACTTATACGAATTGTACTACACAGTCTGAGAGAGAGAAAAAACAGCAGTTAAGTCAAAAAAGTGGTGACATGACATACTTCTTAAAGATCTGCACTGAGCTGTTTGTCCATACGTGTTGTAGCGCTCCATCTCTTGGACAAGCACAGTATTCATACTCTCCTTGTAGAGTACTGGGAACTTCAGGAGAGCTGCTTCTGTGTCAAAATTAGCCGGAAGCTGAGGGAAATAAAGAAATTTACCAGTTATAAATATTTAGTGCAGTGCATACTGATAAAGGATCAAACGAAGGAAAAGCCTGCAGAAACTGGCACTTTACTGGAGAGCTACACCTGCAATGGTGCCAATTTAAACCCGAGCTTAAAATGTGTTTAGCAAATACTAATACTACAAAATTAAAAGGATGAGCTAAATACTAACATCAACATGCAATCATGCTCACAGTG